TCCAACATTTGTCGGCAGAAATAAGAAATGGTCTTTTAGAAAGATCAAAAATAAATTTCGGGCAAAGATTGATTCTTAAAGCAACAGGACTTTATCTATTGGGGGTAAGGAAATTTTCATCAAATCCATTCTTTAGGCTATTCCATCCTACACGATGAGTTGTTTTTTCTTTCCAAGAGGATTATGTAGTGAATTGAATAGTATTATTAGTAATCACTGGTGGAGATTGAAGAAGGATGGAAAAGGATTGCACTGGGTGAAATTGGACTCTACGTGCCATAGCAAGGGAGTACGAGGTATGGGTTTTAGAAGCTTTAAGCTCTTTAATCATGCCTTTCTAGCTAAACAGGCGTGGAGGCTCCTAATGCAACCTGGCTCTCTGGTTCAGAAAGGACTGAGCCAAAGTTACTTTCCTCACAACTCATTCCTGGATGCTCAAATGGGCTACTGTTCATCTTTTACTTGGAAAAGCATTTGGACTGTTAAAAATGTGTTGTAAGCAGGGTTGGTTTGGCGGGTTGGCGACAGAAGGAAGATCAGAATCTGGGGAGACAAGTGGCTGCCCACTAATCGGCCTATAATCTCTAACATTAATGGATATAGTTTTTTTTCAGATGATGCAAAGGTGGTGGAGCTAATTGATCAAGGCACAGGGACCTGGAAGCGAGATCTTATTCAAAGCATCTTCTCAGATTAAGATGTTGCCTCAATTTGCTCTATCCCTCTTAGCAGAAACCAACACGAAGACAGATGAAAATGAAGTATGGAAAAGAGTGGATCATATACGGTAAGAAGTGCCTATCGTCTGCTATGTATGAAAATGGGAGAAGCTTCTAATCAAGTGGGAGAATGCCCATTTAAGATTCCGGAAAAAGTTATGGAGGACACATATTCTAAGCAAAATTCAGGTTTTTGGATGGAAGCTCAACAATGGTTATCTTCTAGTTTTTAGTAACCTACGGAGAAAAGGCATGGAGGTCAATCCCGTTTGCGTGAGGTGTGGTAAGAAGGATGAGACGGTAGCCCATGCATTATGGGTTATGAGCATGCTGGGGTAGTATGGGACTGCATACCTATTCCTAATTCGTGGAAAGCTGTGGCTCTGGACAGCAACATGGGCTTTTATCTAGGATTACAGATCTAGAAATGGGACTGGTTGCTGCTTGGGCAATTTGGCATAATCGCAAATTAGAAGTTAAGAATGGGGATAAACGAAGCCCTACGGAAATTGCCAAACTTGCTTAAGACTACTTGGAAGAATACAAGCTTGTAAATGGAAGAGTTGAACGAGAGTGCATAGAGAAGGAGATCCAATGGCAGCCACCAACGCAAGGTGGCTTTAAAGCAAACTTTGATGGGAGTCTTAGTGTGCCTGGGAGTGGATGGGGTATTGGACTAGTAATCAGAGAATATAAAGGACATTGTGTGGGCATGATACTAGCAAAGGTAGAAGACGTCTGTGATTCTTTGGTGATGGAAACCATTGTAGCCCTCCAAGCTTTTAAGCTAGCTAAGGAAATGTGACTCCCATGTGCGATCATAGAAGGAGATTCTACACAAGTTGTCAATAACATTCATGCCAGAACAGAGAACCTATCCATAATAGGAAATCTGGTAACAGATATTCACATGATATGCGAGGAGCAAAGCAAATGGCGCTGCTCATGCTCTGGCTAGGGGTGCAGTTACAGCTAGGAGTGCAATTAGACGGGAAAAATGTAATTTTGGGACTGTCCGCCAATTATCCTTGACATTATTACTGCTAAATGTACTAGTTTCAATTAGAAATGAAATCTATTTTCTCTTTAAAAAAAACTAATTAATAAAAATTCATATATTAATGAACAGGTTACCTGCATGAGAAGCATCCACAACAACTGCCCACTTGCCTAATTCTATTCCCCCCCCCCCCCCCCCCCGGGGAAGAGCTATCATTTTTCTTAATATTATTTTTAAGATTATTAAGGTAATTTAATTAATGAAGTGATATTATTACTAAATCACTCATAATTTAGTTAATTACAATAATTAATTCTTATCAATTAAAGTTTATTTTGTTTGGTATTACTAAAAATAAAATATTATTTTATTTGAAAATATAAAAATAATCATACATATTATAAAAATTATAAAAATGAATGATTTTAATAGTGTCTAAATATAATAATTTATAAAATATTAATAAATATTATATTTACTTCATAATAAAATATAATTAAATTAAAAAATATATTTATTGATAGATAAATTATTTTATAATATAAATTATATAAAAAATATTTGAATTAAAAATTAAACTAACTTATTAAAATCATAACAAAAGAAAAATACTATTATATTATATAATACATTAAAAAAGTTAAAATATTTTATTTTTGAATTTTTTATAATGAATATTAATTTGAAAATATAAAAATTTATAATATAAATAACATTAAGTACTATTAATTTTATATATTACTTGGATGATAAAATTTTTCACCCCTTAGATGAATTTTAAATTATCTTTTAAAGTATTAATTTGATTATTTTTTATAATTCAAAATTATAATCACATAAAATTATCAAATGCTTATGAAATATGATAACTTAATTACTAAATATAAATTATCATGATTTCATTCCAACACGACACTCAAAGGCCAAGAGTATGCACATAAGATGCATCCTTATACACATGATATCTAAATATATGCTAAATTCCACCAATGGCCTTGGATTCTTATAATACAGCCTTATAATAATATCCTCCCCTTTGTTTAAAAAGTTGATGCGATATGCAGGGTTACTTTTATTGTACACTGCAGCACCCCCTCTCTTTGTTTTAATGTTATGGCCAATGGAATTTTATTTATTTGAATAAGAAAGTAAACAAAATTTAAAAAAAAAAAAGTTTTCCACTATTTTCCACTTTACAAAATCAATTGACTTTGAGCATCAGATGGCCGTCCATCACTGTCACTGAAAACAAATCATAATTAACAGCAAAAAAATTATATACATCATTTAATATTTCAACAATAAATTATTATTGAGAGAGAGGAAGTGTTGAGATTTGGGGCTGGAAGAGTATGAAAACAATTAATAACATTGGTAAGAAGAGCAAGATTTGGAGCCATTTGATTTTTTTTTTTTATTTTCTGATCTGTTGGAATATCAACATTATACATTTACATCTCTAAATGCAAGCTGATTATAAAGAAATAATATGATTTTGATTATGATAACAATTGACCAAGCATTGGTTATATTAATTAATACAAAAAATAAATCTAAATCTTCTTTTTTGTTGTTCTTGCTAATAGAGGAAATGCAAGAAAGGGAGGAGAAGACAAAAATCAAAGAATAAAATGAACTTTCAGTACCTAACGTTTAACCAAATAATATGACTAGAAAAATGGCAAAAATAACAAAGGAGTTCTTGATTTTTATTATTTTATTCAAATAAAATTTTATAATTTTATTACATTCAACAAACTTTTAAATTTTTATTTGCAATCAAATAAATTTTTAATCTTTAATTTATATCTAAGTAAATTTTTAATATAAATCAATATTTCATTTGAAATAAAAACTTATTTAAATACAAATTAAAAGATAAGAGTTTATTTAGGTACAATAAAAATATAAAAATTGATTTAAAAAATAAAATAATGTAAGAGCTTTTTTTAATATTTTAACGAACATGTTCTTATAACTTAAGCAAATGATATGGCAATGACTCATATTTTAACAAATTTGCCAAATAAATCAAAATTTACACTATTAATGATGATTTTATAATAAAATAAAAGCACAAAATTCACCTAAAACATCAATCATATAATTTATTAATAAAATATTAAATTTTTAATTTCAATAATTAGAGTTAGAATCTTAACATCCTCAAATATAATAGAGCACAAAATTCACATGAATTAAAATTATTAATTAATTGGCACAAATACTTTAAAAAAAAAAAGCTCAAGTGGTTTGACCCTTCTTGGATAAGCTATTAGAAGATCTACTCTCATTATTTATCTATCAATAAACAATTTAGTAAAAGTTACTGGGCTTCCATTAAATTGTTACCTCAAAATAACTTCAATTCTTCCTGAAAAAATGAATTATTATCAGCTTGGCAATTTTGTTATGTTGAGAAATAAAACTAAGGTGGAATGGATAATCAACAATTTTATAAATTAATCTCTGTTTCCAGAAGAATAAAAAAAAAAAAATTGGCTTACTTTTTCTGATGAAAATATTTTACATGTGTAGCTCTGCCGACACTAACAGAATCAAGAAAAGGAATATGCTTTTGGCCTTATTCTATATATATATATATATATATATATATAGAGAGAGAGAGAGAGAGAGAGAGAGAGAGAGAGAGAGAGAGAGAGGAATGGATGCACTTCACTTTCAAAAGCTGTATTAGTAATATGTTAAGCTTAGAGTTTCTCTTTTCCAAACGAAAATGTGTTGATAGTTAATTAATGTATCAACTTACATATCTCAACTACCGTTATATATTATTGAATTTTTTTTTTTATATCAATTTATTTATAACATAATTGAGTATATATTCAATATACATATTGAATAGACTTTCGATAATCACAGTAAAAAAAATTTATATATATATATATTCAATATACATATTGAATAGACTTTCGATAATCACAAAGTAGAAAAAATTTATATATATATATATATATGAATGATATCTTAATTAATTAATAAGACTTAAAAAAATTAAAGATAGATTATAATTAAAAAAAAAACAAATACAAAAAAACTTTTTTTTTTCATTATAACTCCCAAACACGACCAATCTTCCAGTGGAGATGTAATTAAAAATTTTGCTGAACATTTATTATATTCTTATTAAATTGAATGATGGTAGATAAAATTAAAAATTTAATATTTTATTAACATATCAATTAATTAATAATGTTCATAAAAGTTAGTAATTATAATGATAAAATAAAAATATAAGTTAAGTTCTAACACTCTCCCGGTCATTCAAGACTGTCGCTTTCCGTTTCAAGTAAGGTACCAAAAAAAAAAAACCGTCCCTTCTAAAAATGCTTTTGTCCTTGATCAAAACGTTCTTCTATTAACCCTAAGCCCGTTTTGGTCGATTCCTCAACTCTTGCATTTCACCCCCCAATTACTAGCGTCAATTTTGTCTTGTTCAATGTGGTTGACACTTCCCTCCCTTAGCTAACTATCTCTCTTTTCTTTTCCGTACTCTTAATCCTCTTCACTTTTTGTCTAAAAGAAAAAGAAAATTCTTTCATTTGACAATCCAAAAATTTTCCATCAAAAAAGAAAAAAACAACCAAAATTGCAAAATACCCTTCATCACCGTCAAGGAGCGCCGTGGCACGGTGGGGCAACCACTTAGCCCCACCACCCAAAAATATAAAAAACTATAAAATCTGGGTTCCACTGAATACCCCATTTTAATTTCTCAGTAGACAAGAGCTAGTTTTTACAGTTATAAGTAGACAATGTTGGAGACATTTTGACTCCAAACTTTATAGCTTGGAGTAGCAATACTCTATGCATGTAAAAAGAAGAAATGAAATCATAAATGTACTGTAATGTGGTAGATTTATTGATTTGGTTTCGCCTTTCTCTTGCTGATCTGTTCGTGTCTGTGTCCATATCTCGTTGCTAGTGTGTTAAGCGTTGAATTTTTGTCAAGATTCTTTTCTGTCATATTCTCTCTCTGTTTATAAGAAGCTTTTGATCAGACTCCTGTCAATGATCAACACCAACCAAAATTTTCATTTTTATTTTTAACGGAGAGACCCAGTTGTCGGCAAAATTGGGTCTTTCTTTCTCTCTCAAATAAGGAATCAATCAATAAACAGACATAGTAACACACAAACAAAAAACTATTTCTTTTTTTCTTTTGATAGTATCGTATATTCTTTGTTCTTTATTATAATAATTGACATCATATTTTAGTTGTAGCTATATTTCTATAGTTGGTTCTCTACCTCTCTCTCTGAAGCTGTGTTTTTGTTCATTGTATAATGTGAGGTTGTTGTTCCTTGTAATGGGTGCCTGAGAGAGAAAGAAAGAGGTGGGAAGTAAAGCTTGGATCTTTATGAGATTTGAGTGATGAAGGAGGAAGAGAGATAGCTATATTGAAGTGGGTTTCTCTTGCTTTTGAAGCTTTTACCTTTGTTTTTGTTGGGGTTGGAGCTAGATGGATACCAAAGGAAGACTCGTTGCTGGTTCCCACAATAGGAATGAGTTTGTTCTCATCAATGCTGATGAGTTTGCAAGAGTAAGTACCTTCAATGTTTGTTGCTTCTTCTATCTTTTTGTCATTGGCTACGGGCTACATCGATTGTTAGTGAAGAAATTTCGAGGAGTGAGAGCTGGTAAATGTTTTGATTGAAGAGTTTCTTTTAGTGTCTGAAACTGTTTTTTGGAACCCCATTTTTGGATTTTGGCAAGGCTTATCTTTTTAGTTCTGGTTGGTGGAGCAGCAAAAATTTCTACCTATGCTTCTGTGGGCTGTTTTCTTCAGCTTGATTCAGTATCACATTCCTGGAAAATTTCCTCTCCTGTGGTTCTTTTTTTTTTTTTTTGGGCATAGTGTTTATAGACAGCCTAGACTCAACTGAACAAATTTTGATTATCCATTCCTTGTTATCCCAATTTAGTAATTTATTAGTTTTTAGATCTCGGAGCCTGTAGATGCATCCGATTCAGGAAATTAGTAACTCTGGTTTTGCATAAATTTTGTTATTTAAGCTATTAAAAAAGCTTTTTAGTTGGGATTTTGGGTAGCTTAAAGTCCTTTATCTGCTATTTTGAAAAGCAATTTTCATTATCTGTTTGCGGTTGACATTGTTTGTTGTGTAACCATGACATGCAGGTGACATCTGTTAAAGAATTAAGTGGGCAGATTTGCCAGATCTGTGGAGATGAGATAGAGATTTCTGTTGATGGGGAACTATTTGTTGCCTGCAATGAGTGTGCATTCCCGGTATGCAGACCTTGCTATGAATATGAAAGAAGAGAGGGCAATCAAGCATGCCCTCAATGTAAAACCAGATACAAACGCATTAAAGGTGAGCATTGATAAGTTGATCTTTTAGTAAAGAGCAACTTGATAATAGTTTTAGCTAACAATGTGGCCTATTCCAGGTTGCCCTCGTGTAGAAGGGGATGAGGAAGAGGATGGTGCTGATGATTTAGAGAATGAGTTTGATATTGCAAGCCATGATAGGAGAGATCCTCACCATATTGCTGCAGCCATGCTCTCTGCTCGACTCAATGTCAATTGTGGTTTTCAACCTCATGTTTCAGGGATAAGCACCCCAGCAGAGTTTGATGCTGCTTCTGTCGCTACGGAGATCCCTCTCTTGACATATGGCCAAGAGGTGAATTCGTTTTGCAGTCAAAATTTTTTTGTTTAAATATGTTATTGCATTGGTGGCTGACATATCTAATTGGTTATTGCTAATGAAGGATGTTGAGATTTCCTCCGATAAGCATGCTCTTATCATTCCTCCCTTTATGAGTCATGGAAGACGTGTCTATCCAATGCCAGTTCCTGATCCTTCCATGACCTGTAAGTTATTTCATATGAGTGGTAGAAATGTATGAGAACTTGTAATTTAATTTCAAATGCTCAAATGAAATAATTTTGAACCTGTTTTTAATTTCCGATTATTTGTTGTAATTCTGTGAAGTCTGCTCTGGTTTACATGCCCTTTCATTCTATTTTATGGCACTTAATATAGTTTCTGTTGTTGATATCCCAGTGCCATCCAGACCAATGGATCTTAAGAAGGATTTGGCAGTATATGGGTATGGAACTGTTGCATGGAAGGAAAGAATGGAGGATTGGAAGAGAAAACAGAATGAGAAACTCCAGGTGGTTAAGCATGAAGGAAATAATGGAGATGAGTTTGAGGATCCTGATTTGCCAATGTTGGTGAATTCTTTATGCTAGGCCTGAGCTCATTTAAGTCATAGAAGCTAGTTCCAGCAATTGTTTGTTTCCTAGATTCCTCTTCCTTTTTTGGATTAAAATAATATATAAATTGTCAATTGATTCAGAAGAGGACCTGGCTGCTTCAGCTAAGGCCTGAGTTGCTAATCATTATGGGTATTCATGGTTAATTATATACACATAATTGTTGTTTTTCACTTCTGCCATAGTGAATCATTTTTACCTTGATTTCTTTTTTCGTGAGAAGTGTCATTGTTTTATATGATTGCATTATCTAATTTTTTTAGCTCTAGAGTTTGTATCCTCTTTACATATATGTTATTTTCATGTTTTGAGCAAATGAATGCACCATTTTTCTGTGTTGAAAATGTTATTTCAACAGTATCTCATATCTCTGTTTCAAACATGGTTGTAACTAATATCAATTTCAATTGCCAGACACTCCATAGGCTATTTTAGAGTAATTGTATTCATTTACACCTGCTTTTTTGCATTCACAACAGTTTCAACTAACAGTAAAATTATGCGATATTATAGGATGGATGAAGGCAGGCAACCACTTTCAAGGAAACTACCAATCCCTTCTGGCAAGATAAATCCATATAGATTAATTATCCTACTTCGGCTTGTGATCCTGGGGTTATTTTTTCACTATAGAATTCTGCATCCTGTGAATGATGCTTATGTGCTGTGGCTTATTTCAGTCATTTGTGAAATATGGTTTGCTGTATCATGGATATTGGATCAGTTCCCGAAATGGTACCCAATTGAACGGGAAACATACCTTGATCGGTTGTCATTGAGGTGATTCCATCTTCTTTCTCCCTTTCCTTCCCCACTCTTGCTCTCTATGCATCTCAATTCCTCTCTCTCTGTTCTGACATTAAACTTGTGTGTATATCAGAGAGAGAATTCAATTTTAGTTATTATTTTTATTTTATATTATTTGTTTTTCTCTTTCCTTTTTTAAGGTACGAGAAAGAAGGGAGGCCATCTGAACTAGCTTCTGTAGACATATTTGTGAGTACAGTTGATCCCATGAAAGAGCCACCACTTATCACTGCAAATACAGTTCTGTCTATCCTTTCTGTAGATTATCCAGTTGATAAAGTAGCCTGCTATGTCTCTGATGATGGTGCTGCCATGCTTACTTTTGAGGCTCTGTCTGAGACGTCTGAATTTGCAAGAAAATGGGTACCATTTTGTAAGAAGTTCAACATTGAACCCCGGGCTCCTGAATGGTATTTTGGTCAGAAAGTTGACTATTTGAGAGATAAAGTAGATCCAACATTTGTTAAGGAACGCCGTGCCATGAAGGTTTGTAACTTTTCTCCTAATTTTAATATGTTTGCTGCTGGCAATTGTCCGCCATTTGACTACCCTACCCTTTATACTATATGAAGGAATCAATTGTAGACCGAGAGATTGCATTGCTTAAGCATAAAATTTAGCAGGCAGAAAGGGTGTCTATTTGCATGTGGAAAAATAAAACATTCATTCATATAATTACTATTTCTTTATTATTATGCATGCCTTTTTTTACACAAAAAATGTTTTCAATTGGTTTCAAGAAATGATGTTTTATATCCTGGGTTGTTAATTTTTTGATACAGAGGGAATATGAAGAGTTCAAAGTTCGAATAAACTGCTTGGTTGCCACGGCACAAAAATTTCCAGAGGAGGGTTGGACAATGCAGGATGGGACTCCATGGCCAGGAAACAATGTCAGGGATCATCCTGGAATGATCCAGGTGAAGTGTTTTCTTTGCATGCTGTTTGAGATTTGGTTCAGATGCTATCCATCGCCCAAGTATTTCCAGTATGCAGTAACATAGTAAAAATTGGGTATTATTTGCTATAGGTTTTCCTTGGTCATGATGGTGTTCGTGATATTGAAGGGAATGAATTACCTCGTCTAATTTATGTTTCTCGTGAAAAGAGACCAGGATTTGATCACCACAAAAAAGCTGGGGCCATGAATGCTTTGGTATAGCTTTCTTTCTCTCTATCTCATTCATACACACACACAACACCCAGTCCCAGCTTGGCATGTTCTCTGATCAGTCTGTTGTCTGATTTATCTAATTGTTTATAATTTTTTGGTGACTAATGAAGGTTCGCGTTTCTGCTATCATCTCCAATGCTCCTTTCTTACTGAATGTTGATTGTGATCACTATATAAACAACAGCAAGGCTCTTCGTGAAGCTATGTGCTTCATGATGGACCCTATTTCAGGAAAGAAAATCTGCTATGTCCAATTTCCTCAAAGATTTGATGGCATTGATCGACATGATAGATACTCTAATCGCAATGTTGTATTTTTTGATGTAAGTATAGATTTTGGCTAACTTTAATGTTGCAGACACATGTTTCTTCCTAAAAGGAAAAGATGTGTCTTTTTATTTTTCTAAAAACAGATCAACATGAAAGGACTGGATGGGATTCAAGGACCTATTTATGTTGGAACTGGATGCGTCTTCAGGAGGCAGGCACTCTATGGGTATGATGCCCCTGTCAAGAAAAAGCTTCCAAGAAGGACATGCAATTGTTTGCCAAAATGGTGCTGCTGTTGTTGTTACCGATCTAAAAAGAAGAATAGGAAAGCAAAGTCCAATGTTAAGAAAAACAACAAGGAGGTTTCAAAGCAGATACATGCTCTAGAGAATATTGAGGGAATTGAAGGTAAGATGTTTTTCAAATTGGCTTCCATTATGCATCTGGAAAATGTCTTACAGAATTTTCCTAGTAGCATGTAATCCCTTTCTTAGGTTGTAACTATAAATTATCTCGGAATAGTCTCCTTTGCAGACATTTTGTCACATCTAAGTTTAGTCTTGATATTTCCAGATATATTGTCATTGACCTAGAATTGGTCCCTTATTTTACAGTTTCTGACACGTGCTCTTTTGGTTAAAGTAGATTATGTTAGACCTGTATGGCCATGTCACTTATAGAGCCATAATTTCATATTGCAGGTATAGACCATGAAAAGTCATCCCTTATGCCACAAATCAAATTTGAGAAGAAATTTGGCGAATCACCAGTTTTCATTGCTTCGACACTTATGGAGAATGGAGGAATTCCAAAGGGGGCAAGCACTGCATCACTCTTAAAAGAAGCCATCCATGTCATCAGCTGTGGTTATGAAGATAAAACAGATTGGGGGAAAGAAGTATGTAGAAACTGCTTCAGAACTTAATAAATTATTTTGTGTCTTGAAGGTTTTTTTTTTTTTTGAATTATTGCATTTCTATAGTGATGTTCATCAATTACGAACTTCAGGTTGGGTGGATATATGGCTCTGTTACAGAAGATATATTAACAGGCTTCAAGATGCATTGCCATGGCTGGCGATCAGTGTATTGCATTCCAAAAAGGCCTGCATTTAAGGGTTCAGCTCCTATTAACCTCTCAGATCGTTTGCACCAGGTTCTACGTTGGGCTCTGGGATCTGTTGAAATTTTCTTGAGCAGGCATTGCCCATTATGGTATGGGTATGGCTGTGGATTAAAATCCTTGGAGCGCTTTTCTTACATAGCCTCAGTTGTGTACCCTTTGACATCAATTCCACTTCTTATTTATTGTACACTGCCGGCTGTCTGTCTCCTTACTGGAAAGTTTATTGTCCCTGAGGTAATTCTGAGTGGCATACTTTCTAACATGCATACTTCTCAATTATTTTGGGATCAATTAGCATAGAAAAACCAATCAGCTAGGATTAGTAATTTTAGAACTGTTTGTAAGTGATAGATAGTATGACTGCTCATTAACTACATGAAATAAAAGCTCATTTGAAGTGGATTTTATTCTCTTTTTGATTTCTTCCTTTCATTTTTCTTTTTTGGGGTGTGCGTGTTTAAATTGCAAGCAATAAATTTTGTAGTTATTATTACGGGGATTTGTTTTCTCGTTTTAATTCCAAGAACAGGTTTTGGAGCTGAAATTCATCTTAAAAAATTACGGAGAATTGGACTGAGCATCATTAGTACATGATTCAGATGCTGTAATTATAGTCATGAATCTTCTCCAGCTAGAGACTTTGCAGTGTACTAAAATCCTCCAAGTGATGCATTTCATTTAGTTTGGAACCATATTTGTGAATCTTGTCTTGTGCAGTCTATACTAACAATGCCCCTCTTTGGGCTGTAGCTTTAATATTATTAAATTATTGCTAGATATGGGAATTTTAAAATCTGGATGCTGTAATTAATCAGGCTTCATCTAAATTTGAGCTAAAACTGATTTTTCCTTGTGCAGATTAGCAATTATGCCAGTATCCTTTTCATGTCTCTCTTCATAGTCATAGCTGTGACTAGTATCCTCGAAATGCAGTGGGGAGGTGTTGGGATACATGACTGGTGGAGAAATGAGCAGTTCTGGGTGATTGGTGGTGTCTCATCACACCTATTTGCCCTCTTCCAGGGTCTGCTTAAGGTTTTAGCAGGTGTTAACACGAACTTCACCGTTACCTCAAAAGGAGGCGACAATGGAGAGTTTTCTGAGCTATACATATTCAAATGGACATCTCTATTGATTCCTCCCATGACATTGTTGATCATCAACATGATTGGAGTCATGGTTGGGATTTCTGATGCCATCTCCAATGGATATGACTCATGGGGGCCTCTATTTGGTAGATTGTTCTTTGCCTTCTGGGTTATCGTTCATCTTTACCCGTTCCTCAAGGGGTTGATGGGGAAACAAGACAGGCTTCCTACCATCACTGTGGTTTGGTCAATACTTTTAGCTTCAATTTTCTCTCTTTTGTGGGCTCGAGTCAACCCATTTATATCAAAAGGAGGTATTGTTTTAGAAGTGTGCGGGTTGAACTGTGAATAAAATACAGAATAAAAAGGAAGGGGGTGAAGAAAGGCTGTCTGAAAATTGCATAAATCGGCTGTGTTTTTGGTCGAAGACGAAGACATCCCTCCCTGCGACATGGTTGTCCTCACTTACCATCATGTAAAAGGTGAGCAAAAGGGAAAACATATATGTTGCATGGTGTTTGTAGATACGTAGAACTGGGATCCAGTATTTGTTCTGTTGAGTTCCCTTTGATTCTTTCCATACAAGTGGATTTTTGTGGGTTGGAAGGGATTGAATTCATAAAGTCCTTTGTAATCTCTAGAGAAGAGAAAAGTTTGTTTTATCCATAATGTATATTTCCTTCAATAAGGGACTTAAGATAAATGCCTTTGAATTGTTTTGTGTAAACTTTGGATTGGAATTTATAGTGCTTTTAAGGTTCTCCACTGTCTTGCTAGTAAGATACAGATGCAATATTAGTAGCAAACATCACCCGCATATTCACAATACCACCATGAAAAATCAAGGCTTTTGTACATACATTATGGTTTTCCTCAAACGGCATTTGGCATTTGGTGATTTTTATTTTTTTTTCAAATTTTTATTTGTTATAAAGTAAAGCCAAATGTACATACTTAACGAGTAAAATCTTGAATACACATTATTGAGAAAAAATTGGAATAATATTGCAAATGGTTTTTAAATTATATTGAGTTATTAATATGGTATTTGAATTTCAAAAATTTTTAATATAATTCTTGAGTTATAAATTTATTAATTAATATGATACTTAAAGAGTTATTTATTCCTCATGTGTCATTATTTATAACTAATCATGTTAAATGTAAGTATCATATTAATTAATATATTTATAACTTAAAAATTATATTAGAAAGTTTTAAAATTTAGATTTCTTGAATATTTTATTATAGTTCAAAGGCAATTCATTATATTAACCCAAAAAAGTTACATTCACGATGAAGTAAGAATAACTTATGTCATTTGAAAAATATTACATTCACATAGAGTAAAAAAGTTAATATTTAATGTAATGTTAGTGTGTAAGTGTTATATATTATCAATCAACAATATGATAATATTTAATAAGTAAAACTAAAAATAATTAGGTCTTTAAAAGTAATAATTAATAAATTTATTTAAGTTTAATAAATTATTAAAATAACTTTTTTTAAGGACATAATTACTTTTAATTTTACTCATTAATGAAGTGTGACCTTAAAAATAAAATATTATAAGAAAAAAAATTTCAAACCACTTAGTTTGGAGAAAAAAGCTTTTTTTTTTTTTAAGCAATTGAAGATTAGATTGATTTGGATTTAGTTAAACCAGATTCCATCTTAAAAGTTTTAGACTTGAATCTCAAAATTAAAAAGACTGAAGTTCTTTTTCATTGAATAAAACATTTAGTTTAATTAATTGATTAGATTTTTTTTATTAAAAAAACCCTTTAAAAAAGAACGAAAACAAAATTTCCTTTTAAAAATTTTCAAAATTAAATAATTGAAATTAAAAATTCAATATTTTAAAAGCAAACTGCCTAACCGTTTGGGAAAAAAAAAAAAATCTGAATCTCCATTCTTCAAATTTGTGTTTGACCTAGCTTATAGAAGAGTTATCCATTGTAAAAGCAGAAATGCTCACAAAATTTTAAAAGTTATAACTTATGCGAAAGTAAATTTAAATTTTTGGGCGAAGTTATAAATTAAAATTTTTTAAGAAGTGTTAATTTGAATAATAAATATTTAATGAAAAATTTATATTCTTACTTTAATCTTTAATAATTTATAAAATTATAAGGAAAATTATATTATTTTATACTTTTTTTTTATTTTACCAATTTTTCTAATGAATTTGTTTATTTGTTTATTATAATTAATAAAAACATCTCTTTATTTATGTATTTTTACCTAAAAACTTGTGATGTAATTTAATAAAATTGATTATGTTATTTTTTATTTATAAAAAATATATAAAAATACTATCCAATAGTTTTTTTTTTTAACATTTTATAACGCTTACATATTAAATTTATCAAAAGCTATTTTAATTTCTGCTTAGAACACTATTAAAACACTTTTATTCCGATAACACTTATAAAAATTTTACGTGGAACAACCAGATTCAAAAGAAGAACTTAAGAACCAAAAAGAAAAATCATAATAAAAATTAAAGGAGGGATAAGCCCCACCCTAACCCATGACTTGGGCTCTAAGATCCAAGCCCAATCAACGATGAGAGCCCCCATTTTGTAATAAAACAAAAAGATGGGGAACAAAATTAAATTTAAGGAAGAAAAGTGGGTTTTATGTAAATTCATTTATTTAAACATGTTTTAAAAACAGCAGCTAGGGTTTTGGCCCTTCTCTGATTAGCGAGTGTTAGCAGGTAGGCACAGCAGGAGCCGCAGCAGTCTTCCAGCTAAGGTCACCTCTCTCTTCTATCTAGTATCTCCATATTCCTCTCTTTTAGCTACTTTTAGTTAGAAAATGGAGGAAAGTAAAGAAAAAATAAACTGTTTTCGTAGCTTTCTTGTAAGAAAATGAATTGGTGTCGCCCTGGAAATCCTTTTCATTTTATTTTCTTTAGTTTTAAAGAATGAACTCCTTTTGTTTTATCTCTTTAATTCATTGTTATTTTTATAGATAGAAAGGAAAACACTTGTTTGGTTATAGATTTTTTATTTGTTATTTGCTTTTCTTTGGGTGGTGAAGGAGGGGAAGAATGTCTCACAGGAAGTTTGAGCACCCAAGGCATGGCTCCCTTGGATTTCTTCCAAGGAAGCGAGCTTCCCGTCACAGAGGAAAAGGTATTCTCTTTCATTTTTTTTTTTAATTTTATAATAAAAACAGAGCTGTAGAAATTCCAACTGAAAATACAGTAATATATCTGATGTGTAAATGATGTTATTTTGTGTTGGTGCAGTGAAGGCATTCCCAAAGGATGACCCAAGCAAACCTTGCAAGCTCACTGCCTTTTTGGCGTACAAGGCAGGCATGACACACATTGTCAGAGAGGTCGAAAAACCCGGATCTAGTAAGTTGAATTTGATCTAGTAGCTCCCAAATTATTTTAATTGTTTGAGGTGTAGATATATATATTTTTTTGGGCTGTATAAACTCTTGCCTGAAGATGTGTTGAGCTTTTTTAATTATTGTACTTTTAAATTTATTATGCTTTAGTTCTCAAAATTTTACTGGAATTTTGGGCTAATTTGTATTCTTTGTTTCTGTATAGAGCTTCACAAGAAGGAGACTTGTGAAGCTGTTACAATCATTGAAACCCCTCCTATGGTGATTGTTGGGGTTGTTGGATACGTCAAGACACCACGTGGCCTCCGCACCTTGAACACCATCTGGGCTCAGCATCTGAGTGAGGAGGTCAAACGTAGGTTCTACAAGCACTGGTGCAAGTCAAAGAAGAAGGCTTTCACCAAGTACTCAAAGCAGTACGAGAGTGAAGAAGGGAAGAAGAATATTGAGGCTCAGCTGGAAAAGATGAAGAGATATGCCACTGTTATTAGGGTCTTGGCCCATACCCAGGTTATAACAATATTTGATTTAATCAGTGTCTTGTTTTCTTATTTTTGCCCTGTTCATAAGTGTTCATTTCAAATGCTTATTTTTAAGATTAGAGTTTTAGCAGGTTAATTGGAAATTCTTTATCAAACTTGTTTCAAGCTGGACACAATTTTCTCACTAAGTGCATCATTACAGATTAGGAAAATGAAGGGATTGAAGCAGAAGAAGGCACACCTAATGGAGATCCAAGTCAATGGTGGAACTATTGCTGACAAGGTTGATTTTGCTTACAAGTTCTTTGAGAAGCAAGTCCCTATTGATGCTGTTTTCCAGAAGGATGAAATGATTGATATCATTGGTGTCACAAAGGGTAAAGGCTATGAAGGTGTTGTCACCCGTTGGGGTGTCACACGTCTTCCCCGTAAGACCCACAGAGGTCTGCGTAAGGTTGCTTGTATTGGTGCCTGGCATCCTGCTAGAGTCTCCTTTACAGTTGCCAGGGCAGGTCAGAATGGATACCACCACCGTACTGAGATGAACAAGAAGGTTTACAGGATTGGGAAGGTTGGTGATGAGACTCACTCTGCCATAACCGACTATGACAGGTTAGTGCATTTGTCTAATTAAGTTTAACTCCCCAGAATATACCTAAATCTTTACCTCCATAAAATTGAGAGCTGTTCTGAAGGTCTTGTATGAAGACTTTCAATGGTTTCTGTTTATTTTGATTGATATCATTGTTGCATGTGTTCTGACGTCAGGACTGAGAAAGATATCACCCCTATGGGTGGCTTCCCTCACTATGGTATTGTGAAGAGTGATTATGTGATGATAAAAGGATGCTGTGTTGGACCTAAGAAGAGGGTGGTTACACTTCGCCAGTCTCTGATTAACCAGACATCTCGTGTGGCTTTGGAGGAAATCAAACTCAAGTTCATAGACACCTCCTCAAAGTTTGGGCACGGACGTTTCCAGACAACACAGGAAAAACAGAAATTCTATGGTCGGCTCAAGGCATAATTTTGTCAGGAATTTTTGGGCTATCATATGGTTAGGTTTTGTTATTCCCTAAGCTTAGTTTATTTTATTCTCTATTCCTTTTTTGAAATGTAGCAGTTGGATTTATTTTGCTTTATCAATTTGTGTTGAATGTTTAAACTGCTGAGGATTTGGAACTGTATTTGCGTAATCTATGTAACAATAGATGACGTCTGTTTGAAATTGTAGTTTTCCTCACAAATTTTCCTACTTGATGGAGTTTGAATTGTATATGATCTTGTCGTATTTGATTTGTTATTGCCGCTTAAGCTTAAGCAGCATCATGATTCGTCACTCGAGTCCTGCCAAATTAATTCAGTCATCTGACCGAGTGGATTCTTTGATCTTGAATCTTGCTTTTGTCTTCTATTAGATGTATCAATAAGAATCTGTTTTTTTATTTCACAATTCAAACGTGTTGCAAAAGCACAACATACCCATGTGGATTTTCCTTTAAATAGCTGTGTTTGAAAACGACGCAGCCAATGAGACCTTGGTTAGAGAGATTTTAAATTTGAGGTCTTAATTCAAGTTTTTTTTAATTGTTTAATTATGTTATTGATTATTAGTTGTAATTTGATTATTCAATTAGTTATTTGATTGATTAAGAAAAAATATGCTTGTGGCTTGTGGAGAGGTGTGAAATAGGGAATTTTGCCAAGTGTGGTACAAATAATAGATTTTGTTGTGAGATTATTGGTTCATTTCTTTCATGATTAAGGAACCATGTCTATGTCACGTGGGGTACATTGTTAGATTGATGGTTGCTTGAGCCTCAGTTTCTCATTCTCTGTATTTGGACTTTTATTTTCTTAATATAGAAATTTCATTAAACGGTATAACTTTTGTCAGTTTCAACTACTGTAATAATTTCCGGTGGTACTTCCTCCACCAGTACCATCCCTATCTTGAACTAAAGCCATCTTTGCTAGCTCGTGAGCGACCTTGTTTGCCTCCCTGCTGATTTGTTGACAGTTCCACCTATTGAGTGTATTCAGCATCACTTTTAATTTCATCTGAAATAGTCCATGTAGGAGCCAATTTCTTTTCCTTCTGCAAAATCTGGTTTATCACAAGAAGGGCGTTACCTTCCAACTCAATGGTTTGGAAACCGAGTTCCACCGCTAACTGCACGGCCGCTACCGCTGCAAATGCTTTAATCATATTCGCATCACTGCATCTCTTGACTTGTCTACAAGCAGCCCCCATGATCCCTCCCAACCAATTGCGTGCCACCACCCCATTCCTTCTACTCTCCATGTATCTAAGGCCCCGTCAAAATTAATTTTTATGTCGCTTTCACATGGTGCCTTCCGGTTCACCTGTTTATCTTTGTACCCTTATCAGCTGGCTATCCTGTGCTTGCTGGTATTCCTCAACGTAGCTGAGAGCGAAAGGCCGTGTGTTGATAACTCCTCAGTGTAGTGTTGATCACTGATTCATTCCTGCTATACCAGATTGCCCACGTAACTGCTATTAGTCTGTCCTTCTCTTCTATGCTTGCTTGTGATGTTATTTTGGTTATCCATTCTTTCATGCCTTGCCAATCATGTCCCGCCACAAAATTAGAAAGTTGGGCTTCCCTCCATGCTTCAATTGCATGCATGCATGTATCAAGGGCGTGTAACACAGTTTCGTCTTCTTGGCCACATCTCGGGCACGTTCCTACATCTATGATCTTCCTGTGTTTCAGATTAGCATATACTGGTAATATATTCTGACATGCCCGCCGATCAAATACCTTGACCTTGTTTGGTACATTTTGTTGATAGCTTAAAATGTAGTGCATCTCACATTGGATAGAAAGAGTAAATTATTGATTACTTAAAGTTAATTTTTGTATTAATTTTATTTATATTTTAAATAATTATATTTAAACAGAAACAATTATCATAAAACAAATGGTCACAACTATTTGCATATAAATAGATTATTATTTATAAATATCATAATTATATAAAAGATCATAACTATTTGAATAGAAGTTTATGTCTATTCATTTATTATAAATAAATCTTTCAATATAACTTTTTTCACTATTTTTGTTTGGAGAGTTTAATATTTATTGTATCCTAAAAGCATAATTGCATTTAAAAAAGTGTTTTTCACCCCTCAAAACCAAGTTTTTTTTCTATTATTTCTCTCCTCTTATTAATTTTTTCTAACAATTTAAAGGTAATTATGAGAAATTTATATTTTACATGAGAAAGATACAAAGAAATGAATTTACATGATTTGGAGATTAATATTAGAGGAGGCTCAAGGTGTCAAAGGATTAATGTTTCTATGGATTAAAATATTAATTTTCATAAAGATTTTCATTAGAGGTATGTATTTTATTTTTTGCATAATTGCTGGTAAAAAAATTGACTAAATGAGATAAACACGTTAACAATTAATTTCATTAGTGTGTAAAGTCAAAACACAATATGCAAAATATTGATTACATTGCATAAGTTTATGTATATATTGAAATTGACTCCACAATTGGGTTTAATAAATTATATTATATCTATTTGAAAAATCAATGCTTATAAAAACTGGGATGAAAATAGCCTGAAAACATAAAAAAAAAAAGAAAGACATGAATTGATCTATAATAAAAAGAATTATCACTTGTTATCAAGTAACGAATTAAATAAGATTCTAATGGAATGGCCGATTGTTTAATTATCATGTTTTGATTATATATAGAATAGGCAAATTGTCCCATGATTTCTATGAAAATAGTAAAAAATGGGTAAAGGAATTTACCATGAAAAATTATATGTAAGTAGAGAATATATGCAACAAATAAGATTTGGTTGCAAGATTATTTTTATTTTTAAATCATGGCACAAAAATTGAGATAATAAGTTGAGTCAAGCTAGTTATATGGTTCTATCTTTGTTGGTTATTTATAAATCAAAGGTTTATATATATATATATATATTTTTAAATTTATTATTGGTTTAAAATTTGACCAGTGTTCAATTTTCATGAAAACCAATTAAAATTAAATTGATGTATATGATTAATTATTATTAAGATAGAACCATAGGCAGTGTGACTTGTATTTTGCTTGTTGGGTGTATTACACTAGAAGTGATTTTACAAAATAAAATTTTATTATGAACAATCACAAAGTGTAAATCTTAAACAGCCGTAAAAAAGTTAATTAGTGGTTACACAAAAGCATTGTTGCTTTTTGCATATGGGATATTTGATTAAAAGAAAAGGCATGTCATTAAAAATATTGAAGCATTTGTCAGTTATTAACATTTTGAAAGATGCTATTCAATGTCTAATTAGCCATGTTTATAAATTAGAAAAGCATATGCAAATTCAATGTTCCAAAGGCACCACCAATATATGCATGTGTTTAATTCCATTTTCTGATGGCATGGAGAAAATTGGTACAGTTTGCCATATATTACGAAAATAAACTGAATGGGATGGAATTTTTTTTTTTTTATAAATATAAGAATGATATGGACTATGGAGATAGAATGCCATAATCTAATTAATACATTATTGGTTAAAGACAATGAAGATATTTTTACTTTTTGTATTTAGAAAATTTGTAGGCTGTTAAAATGAAAAGTAAACAAGTTTTCGAGATTTTCAATAGTTTCATGACAATGGCAAAGATGTGGCTAGTTATACACCATATCAACATATGAGCTTAGATAATAATATTAGTTTGTGAAAGTCATAAGCCTTGGAGTTAGCCAATCATTGATTTAACTAATGCAAATCAATCACAAATTTTTACATGAAATATAAGTAGAACTCCTATTATAATAATTGTTTATACTATTTTATGAAAATGATTCTTTGGATTTATGTTTCATTACTTGCGTTGATATGGTGATCTAGATATGAACATATTGATCACAAAATGATTGTGAAAGTATTTAAAATTGGAGTTAAATATTCTATGGACTTTTATTATACATAGGCATATTGGTTTTATGAGTAAAGTTTAAATTTATTATATATCCGAAAATGTTATGACCAATTAAAAGTGGTAAATAACAGAGATATATAGGCTGCACAATGAAGGAGAAATAAAGTTCTCATAAAATTTTAAAATCAAGTTTAGAGGTTTTAATAGTAATGAGCTTTGAATTGGCCATTGGGCAATTAATATGCAGTGGAAACTCATGATAACATTTGAGATAGTTGGTTTTATATGCATTGAAAACTCATGATAATATTTGAGATAGTTGATTTTTACTAAAAGGCATCACTATAAAGGAGATAACTTCAATAGCCAAATCTACATAATTTGTAGGTATGATATGGATTATTATGGTTGGATTAGAATAGCCATAAGCCAAAATTGATCCCACAATCTTGATCATGTTATGGTAATTTTTTGTTATGTGTATGATCTAATTCATAAATTGTACAAATGATTTATCATCTATGGTTTTATATAATGAAAAATTTAAAGTATATTTACTTTGGAAACCAAGAGTGATTCAAAGATCTTGTGAATATGAAAACTTTTATAATAGCAAAAGAAATGCTATTTGATCCATTTGGGTGATGGAAATGATTTTGTTCATGGTAATAAAAATTCTTAATAGTGTCCATGATGAAATAAATTCATACAAGTATTTATGAATTGACATAAAAAGTTTTAAAAGGATACTGTAGAAGCATGATTATTGAAATATGCTTATTGATGTAAACTCTTATATTGAGTTAAAATATAAAAGTTTTGAAACTTTTATAGAAATACTAAGATATTTGCTAGTTAACTTTCACTAAAGGTGGATTTGAAGGCTTCCTACTTAAAAAAAAACCAAAAAAAAAACCACTAAATAGTAAAATGATAAATGAAATAGCAACTTGATTAAATATATATGATATCTTGACAATTGAATGAGACATTCTTTAATAAAAGAATGCATACTTACAAATGGTGGGGGTGATAAGAATCAAAAGAAGTAAAAATTACCACCATAGTGTTGTAAGATGTTAGTATAATTTTATGAGCAAATTATACAAGCTAATAAGTTTAGACACTTATTAAAGTAAAATCATAAAAATGTCTTTAAAAATCATAAGGGGACTAAGATAGTTTGGTTTATTCATTGAGTTTATTCAATTATACTAAAAATATAATTGTATTAAAGATGTATAGAAATCTGGAAATAGAATGGTTGAAATTTATAAGTATAGAGTTGTAGCTATAACCAAAACCAACTATTTCTTAAAAT